TCAAAGAACCAGCTTTTGGTCTTATTAACTCTTTCAATTGTTTTTCTATTCTCTATTTCATTTAATTCTGCTCTAATTCTTATTATTTCCTTTCTTCTGGCACCTGAGGGCTTCTTTTGCTGCTCTCTTTCTACTTGTTCCAGTTTGACCCATAATTTTTCCCTTTCTGGATCACCCAAGTTGTAAAAATTCAGGTCAGTTCTAGTTTCACTCTGTAAGGCCATGACTGAACTGGTTTGAATCCCTGCTTTACATAAGGCTTATCTGCAATAATCAGTAAAACTAGATACATATGTTATTCAAGTCATAACTGTACCAGAGTCTGATGAGAGAAACTAGCAGTCCCTCAAATTATAAGTTCATTTAGAGGTATAATTTAGCCTTGTCAATAATTTTTTTAATGTTAAATTGAATGTGTGATGACTTAAAAGGAGGTGATGTTTCTGTCTAGATTGTCAGAATGCCGTAAGCACAGCACAGTCTGCACTAGCATCGTTTTTACTTGGGTTGATACAGCCCAGCAAAATTTTTTGGTAGATGTGTCCAACCTTTTTATTTCTGACAAGTGGAAGGGCAGTTGTATTTTAGTGAAGAGTTTTTATTTCACATCAATGTTGTGATGATGAAAGGAAAACGAATAAAATTCAAAAATATACACAAAAAATTAACCATTGTGAGGGTTTTTTGATCTTCTAATTTTCTTTACCCTTTTCCTGGGTAAATACTCAAAATGCTTGTGACCAAAGAGAAGGTGATAGGGAAGAAAGAGTAAGCCATTAAGCTAATTCACACAAAAAAAGAATCAAATTTGTGTTAATGGTCCTTGGTTAGAGAAGCAAGTCTTCCCAGGTAATTACAAAAACCACTTCAGTCATCATACACTAACTTTAGGGAGTTGAGTGCTCTGGTTGAATAAATGAATACTTGTTGGGACATGAAGAAATTTCAGCACAGGTTATTGAACAGCATAGCTACAGCTTCTTAAGGTATGAACACTTCAATTGTTTGTCTTGGGTATTTGTTTTTAAAACATATGTTTGTTCACTAACTGTAAACGTTCAGCCAAAATATCTATTACTGTGCCATTAAGCTTTGAAAGGGGTGCTAAATATAATGTCAAAGCGACTTCTAACTCTAGCTAAGCAGAAAATAATCTTGTTTTCTTCAAAATTTAGATAAGCATTTTAGGCCATGAGAGATGGGAATTTAAAAGAGTAAAATGATGCTAAAAACATCCATATTCAATACATAGTAGATATTTTGTAGAAGAACTAATTTGATTCTTAAAGGGAATAGGGTTATTGAAATTCATTGATTAAAACGAACATATTTAAGCAATCATAAAACCATAAATTTCGGGAATTTTCCAGTGTATTTAGCTAGTCAAATACACCTAATCTAGACAGGTAGAGAAAGAGAGATCTTGATTAAGAGAAATTCATTGAAGTACTTGAAGTTAGAGGGTAATTGGTTAGGTTAAATTACGTTAATTTAACCTAAGCAATAGTCCTTTTGCTGTATCTGCCTGTGGCCAAAGAGGCCTTGGATTGCTCAATCTGTTTTGTGATCTTTGAAGCTTTCAGGTAACTTCTGAAGCTGCTTTTCTGGGGGAAGGTCAGATGGGAAGCTCTTGGGCAGCCATCTTCAGGCTGCCTTTACATAGGCTTTCACACTTGGAATTTTAGGTCCTCACTGGGTTTACTTAACTGAAGCTTCCAGGAGTGAGACTGTTACTCTACCTAACGTCTCTTCTTTCAGGATAATGATCAGGTCACGTATCATTTGTCTTTTTTTCCCCATTGAAGCTATAAGTCATACAGTTGGACCTGACCCCAGTACCCTGAAACAAAGCTACTTTAAGGACCCTTCAAACTGGTCTGTGGAAGAAGTGATACAATTTATGAGAAAAACAGATCCTCAGACATCAGCCCCCCTCGCGGACCTCTTCAGGCAACATGTAACGTATCTTTTTGTCGGGGTTTTCCTGCTGTAATGCCTTTGAATGACCTCTGCACAGGCCCTTCAGTTGGTGCTGATAAGTGTGAATGATGGGAGAACCTTATCAACTGCTTTTCCCATATGTGTAAAAGGTCATTTCACCCTGATGATTTAATCACCACCCCTCTCAGGGTTGTCACTAACCCCTTTGTAATGACAGGTACAAGTATCCTATCCCCACCTGCCTGGTCACCCCTAGTGCAATGAGCAGGAGAGAGTGACCGCAAGCTGTAATCTGGTGTCCTTGTTATAATACCCAGTGAATCCAGCCACTGATTCCATTTTGCTCGGTTCTGTTAACCTTCCATGGCCATAGATGGTTTGTGATGCTGATACTAGAGCACTTTTCAAAGTAATGCCATGGGCTAAAATTTTATAAGTTCCAATTTCTTAGATTTAAGTTAGTATAAAGGTGCCTGACAAAGTAGTAATGTAATGGATTTCAAATCTTTTCAGACAGTTATACATGATTAAGTGATGTTTTATTTTTAAACCAAAACTTGTGAAAATGAAATGCCTCAGCATAAGCTGGTCAGTTAGGAGGCAGGGCAAAATGGCGGAACAGTCAGACGCTTCCGGTGGACCCTCTTAAAACAAAGACCCAAAAAAACAAGTGAATCAATTATATATGGCAATCTGGGAGCCCTGAACATCAAAGGCAGAGTTGAGGAACCAGACTGAGTGGCAGGGGGAGGGAGAGACGGTTCGGAAGCAGCGAGGAGTTGCCAGACCTGACCAGGCAAGAGCCTGAGCCCTTCAGGCCAGATCAGCTCAGGGGTGAGCGAGGCAGGCAAGCACCCGTGCTCTGGAGGCGCCATTTTCCACACCGGGAGAGACCCACACCAGAGAGTCTACACGGCCATGCAGAACCAGTGATAAACAGCTCTCCATCCGACGAAAGATAAGTAATTGCGTACGGCCTACCGCGCGGATCAAAAACACCCCCCTTAGGGAAAAACCTCTCTCCCATTTACCTCCCCACTCCCTGCTCTGCACTAGGTCCCGGACCGGCTTCGGCAATTGCCGAGTCCCCTGGGCTGGAAGTAGGATCCGTCACACACCCGGAGCCATTCTCCCTGCCTTGGAGAGTGAACTAATTAGCAAATGGGAAAAAATAAACTGCCGGCTCCCCTAAGCCAGGAACCCAGGGTAGGCGCAGCCCCTTTGCCTAGGCACAGGCATAAGGGATCCACAGACTTTGAGTGCCTTTCCCCCTGCATAGACTTGTGTGGGCCCATCTCAACAGAGTAGGCCCTCATTACCGCAGTACAACAGGGTATATACCGGAAGTCTAACTTCAGCTGTTTCAGCTGTGAAGTGGCAGATTCTTGACATTTGACACTGCTCTGTCCGTTAAGCCGGGTCTTCATCTACCCACATCGGGCCTGAGAACTCGTGGCTCCAACCATGCCACCTAGCCACCTGCGATAGGGGCCCGTGAATAAGATGCGGCCCCCTGTCCTTACAGCCAACAGCATTAGGTGCTCATAGTCCGGCTGCAAAAGCCACCCACCTACGCACTCTAGGGAACAGGGACATGCTTTCCTCCTGGACACTCGGGGGTGGCCGTCAGCCCCCTGCCTTGCTCAGAGTGTGTCCCACTGCTACAACCAGATGCCTGTGCCTATACCAATCACCTATGCCTGTCCAGGAGTGTGAGAGCTGACACCACACGCTTGGTGGCTATCTACCTGGGCACCTGAGCTGAATCCATACAGGAGGATTGGGCGGACTCCTGAGCTCACATACCTAGTAACATATCTAACCACCTGGTGACAAGACATTGGGGCTTCAAAGGTGCCAATAATCAAACTAGCTCATACGAGCAGCCAATTTGGGCATATCAAAACAAAACAAGAAGCTAGGACACAGTAAGCAAACATAAGATAAATAAATATAATAACTTATTGATGGCTCGGAGACAACAGTCAATATCAAATCACATAAAGAGTCAATCCATCATGGCTTCAGCAAGCTCCCAAAATAAAGACTCTAGATTTACCAGAGGCAGAATACAAAAGATTAATATACAGAACTCTTCAAGAAATTAGGAAGGAAATTAATCAGAACGCAGAACATGCAATAGAGGAAATTAAAAAGATTTAGAGAAGAGCCCAATGACAAATTTAAAAGACTGCAAGAATCCATAGACAGACATTAATCAGAAATCCAGAAGATTAACAATAAAATTTCAGAATTAGACAACTCAATACAAAGTCATAGGAGCAGAATTGAGGCAATGGAAGTCAGAATTAGTGAGATTGAAGATAAAGCACTTGACACCGACTTATTTGAGGAAAAAACAGATAAAAGGATTTTTAAAAGTGAAGAAACCCTAAGAATTATGTGGGACTCTATCAAGAGGAATAACATACTAGTGATTGGAGTACCAGAATGGGGGGGATAACAGAAAATGAAGAAAGAATTGTTGAAGATTTGTTGGCGGAAAACTTCCCTGATATTGTGAAAGATGACAAGATATCTATCCAAGATGCTCGTTGAACCCACGTAAGGTAGATCCCAAAAGAAAGTCACCAAGACATATTATAATCAAACTTGCCAAAACCAAAGATAAAGAGAGAATTTTAAGAGTGGCTAGGGATAAACGAAAAGTCATCTACAACGGAGAGTCAATAAGAATACGCTCGGACTACTCAGCAGAAACCATGCAGGCAAGAAGGCAATGGGATGACATATAGAAAGCCTTGAAGGAAAAAAACTGCCAGCCAAGAATTATATATCCAGCAAAACTGTCTCTCAAATATGATTGTGAAATTAGGGCATTTCCAGAGAAACAGAAGTTTAGGGAATTTGCAAAAACCAAACCAAAATTACAAGAAATACTAAAGGGAGTCCTCCGGATAGGAAATCAGGAACATCAGATAACAACTCAAGACTAGAACACAGGACAGAGCAACCAGATATCAACCCAGATAGGGAAGTCACAAAAGTAAATCAAAGATAAGTTGGTCAATTAAGGTAATAAAGAATTTTAGGAGGATGCCTTGAAACTATCAAATAATACTTTTATAGTGTTTTCTAATGAATTAGTGGCCAAATATCTGATAAACCCTTTTCAGTGTGGTAAGAAAACCAGTAACTAGTTTTAGCATCTAATTTGCTTCAGACAAGTAACTGATTAGTTTTTAAATAAAGACAACACTGTACAGCACACTGACAGTTTGCATTGATGTTGCTAAACTCAGGATCCCTTCTAAGAAGTTAATGAATGTCAGAAATTCATTTCTACCATTCATAGTTCTTGACTTTTTCTCATAGATATGTAGTATTTTGTTCAAGACACAATATTTAAAATCAGATAGTTTGACACATAGGACTACTTTTTGAAGATATTAGGTTAAATTTCCTTTTTCTTAAAATTTGAAATTTATAAATTATCAAATGATGTTTCCCTGTATAAGTTATATTTTTGATAGTTTTCATGAAATAGATGCATATTCAGAGAATATACATCAGGAATGTACAGCTGCTCTCTAGTTTGTTTTTCATATTCTTACATATAAAAATAACTTGGCAAAATACGAAATAATTATTAATCATTATGATTTTCTCATCTCTGTAGGAAATTGATGGGAAGGCTCTGCTACTACTGAAGAGTGATGTGATAATGAAATATATGGGGCTGAAACTGGGACCAGCATTAAAGCTATGTTACTACATTGAAAGACTTAAAGAAGGAAAATACAATTGAAAAAAAGTTTGTGTAAGTTTAGATTAGACATAATTCTCAGGTGTACTGATAACTTTTTAATTTAAAAGTGTTTTTTACCCGTTGCAATTTATGTTTTGCTGAAGGTTCCTCTAAAAAGATGTCATATTTGGAATTGCAGAAGTACCTTATAGTCCAATCTTCTTTCTTAAAAACTATTTAATGTGTGTTAGTATTAATGTAGTCACGTTGGCAGTTTGTTCTGTATATCTTTTTATTTTTTTAATTGTAAAGTTTACAGATATACGTCATTTAGGAAACAAAGGAAAACCTTTGATTTTGGTTAATTTTTATATATAGAACCAAAACAGCTAAATTCCAAAAGGGAAAATACCAGGGATTGAAAATTTCTGTAATTAAATCCATGAGAATTTTTCCTTAGAAGTGAATTTAAAGGTGCAACTATAGATAGATATCATCTCTTTCTCATACATTTTATCTCTCTGGTGCTGCAATGTTATGTTCATGTTCTACCAGTTTCCAGAAAGGGAATAGCCATATGAATGATTTCCCTTTCTGTTGTTATTTCTCTGTACGTTATATTTGTTCATATTTAAAGGGAAAAAAAAAGCAAGCTTATAAGCTTTCATGAAGTGTTCTTATCAGTTTTTTGATAAATTATAGATAGATAGATAGAATGGTCATTTTATGCAGGAAATATTTATACTACAAGTTTGGATGGAGTCTGATTAAATTTTTTAACAAAATACCTATTATTTTAAAACTCCGTATTTTGGCTAAGCTTGGACATTTAACTAGTCATTCATTGCGCACATCTCTATATGAAAATACCTGCATTCAATTTTTTAAAAGATATATATTTTAATGTATGTGTTTATTCCTCATATGATACTCTACCATATTTATATTTTATTCTATACCTGTAGGTATACATACAAGTAAATCTTTTCTTTTTGAATTTAAAATGGCACTTTGCACTGCCACAGAGGTGATAATGGACTATGTATATAGTTAGATATTTTTATTTTGTTAAAAAAAAAAATACGTACATCATTTGCTATCACTAGTACCTCTCAGCTTACTCTTCAGGGGATAAGAAACAATCAGTAGATTGGTTTCCATACAGGGAAGTTCTCTGTCCTATGCAATGTTTCTAGCTAATTTGTTTAGTTCTGAGCCATTTATTATGCTTAATTTTGGAAGATGCATTTGTTCTGACTTGTCATTTGGGGCTTTCTTTTAAAAGTTAGAACTTTCAAGGGGAAATGGTGCTATATGTTTGTTATTAGTTTGTATAACTTTTGGTGTAATATTCATAAGCTATGAGAATCAGTGCAGATAGTATTAGCCATTCGTTGTAAATGCCAATAAAATGTACACCAGGAGCAAGAATGTACTTTCTTTTTTTTTTTCCTTTTTAGAACACCAAATGTACTTTATATATGAATGCAACTATTTACTAGGTATATGTGGTTTAAAGGGTGGTTTCATCTATATTATTCCTTATGTTTTATAGGACAAGATTCTAACTTAAACTTGATCTTTTTTCAAATTGTTTGTGTGAAGATGCTGTGCCCAGTTAAACATTCCTCAGGTGTTTATATATATTATGTTTTGCAGTTTTCAGATGTTAAATTACAATAAAGTTAAATAACCACAATAATTAATGTCAAAGCCTCAGGTTTTATTTCACTTGCCTTTACCGCATTACATTAATGTATGCATATGTTACAGTTGAAAAAGAACAACTGTAGTTAGTTTGTGGTTTTATAAATTGAGTTTTTAAATTTGACCTCATTCTACTAGTAAATAGATTTCTAGGAGCAAAGGGCTGATCTCTTGTAGGGAACTTAAAGGAGACCCCAGGGGACCAGTAAGAAGTTAAATCCTTGAGCTTTATCTGTGCTCAAAACTTTTGTTCCTTACAATGTTATCAATTTTATGAGCATGGTAGAAAATGCCGGTTGTTGTCTGCCATCAAGTCGATTTCAACCCATAGTGACCCCATGTGACAATATAGAACTGCCCCATAGAGTTTTCTAGGCTGTAATCTTTATAGGGGCAGATCACCAGGTCTTTTTCATGTGCAGCCTGTAGGAGGGTTTGAAGCAACCTTTCGGTTAGCAGCCGAGCCCTTTACCATTGTGCCACCTTAGAAAATGCCAGTGCCCCCTAGATATCTTGTCCCATTTGAGTTCATATTGTCTGGTTGGCAACTGTGGCTGCTTTTACCATTAGGGGCCAGAAGCCACATTTCCTGATAGACCTGTTATTACCGCTTTGCCTTCAGATTTCCCAGTTTACCTGATAGAATACACTTAGAAGTTCAGGGTCACAGTTGAATAGCCTTAATTATCAGATCCCTTCTCCATCCCCCGACCCCACACACACACCTACTACTCCATGCCTTGGAGCCCAGAAGCTCTTACGCTGTTTCTCGGAAGCCTGTCCTATAGTTTACTGGAGACAATGGAGCCCCAACGGAGGCTCCAGCGATGATGCTTAACCTGCTGGAACCACAGGTGTTGGTTTGCTGTCTGAGCCTTGAGTGATTCAGTGACTTTTTTCTTTCCCTGTCTGGTTTGTAAAGTTTTAGTCCAGAGAGTATCACATCATATTAGCCTTCCTGTCAACTTTCCAGGCTTTTCAAAATGATCTTTTCTCTAGTTTTGCCTCTTATTGTGACCTTCCACAGCCAGCAGATTTCTGCAACTTGAGCTCTAAAACCCTCTGGGCGCACCTAGCATTTGCTTTAGTCTTTCATCTGTGTGATTACAAATCTTCGGAATGTCTTATAGTAGATGTTCTAGAGTAGGGTTTCCCAAACTTTTAAAAACAGGCTTCCCCACAAAAGAAGATACTCAGATGACCAACAAGCACATGAGAAGATGCTCAATGTCATTTGCCATTACCCGTTGCCACCGAGTCGATTCCGACCCATAGCAACCCTATAGGACCCTATAGAACTGCCCCATAGGGTTTGGATTTGAACTGCTGGTGGATTTGAACTGCTGACCTTTTGGTTAGCAGCCAAGCTCTTAACTACTGTGCCACCAGGGCTCCCGTTAGCCATTAGAGAGATGCAAATCAAAACCATGACATACCACCTCACCCCCATTAGAAATGGCAATGAACAAAAAAATGGAAAACAACAGGTGTTGGTGAGGTTGTGGAGAAACCGGAACCCTCATCCATTGCTGGTGGGAATGTAAAATGGTACAGTCACTGTAGAAAACAAGTTTGACAGTTCCTCACAAAGTTGAACATAGAACTATCATATGACCCAGCAATCCCAATCCTAGGTATATACTCGAAAGTGAGAAAGCAGGAATGCAAACAGAAACCTGTACACCAATGTTCATTGCGCACTTCTCACAATAGCCAAAATGTGGAAACAACTGAAATGTCCATCAACAGATGATGTGATAAACAAAATGTTGTATATCTGTACAATGAAATATTTACCCATAAAGAGAAATGAAATCCTGACACATGCTATGACATGGATAAACCTCGAAAGCATGCTGAGTGAAATAAGTCAGACACAAAAGGATAAATACTATATGATTTCATTTACATGAAATAAGCAAATATGTAGAAAGCAAAAATTATTAGTGGCTATTAGGGGTGAGACCCATTGCCGTCAAGTTGATTCCAACTCATAGCGACCTTATAGGACAGTAAAACTGCCCCTTAGGGTTTCCAAGGAGCGACTGGTGAATTCCAACTGCTGATCTTTTGGTTAGCGGCCGAGCTCTTAACCACTGTGCCACCAGGGCTCCCTAGGGGTGAGCGGGAGGGGGAAAAGGAGGAGTTTTTGCTTAGAGGGCATTGAGTTTATGTTAAGCGCGGTGGAATAATTTGGAAAAGGATAGTGAGAATGGTCTCACAACTTGAATGTAATCAATGTCCCTGAATTATACATTTAGAATTTTTTTTATTGTACTTTAAGTGAAAGTTTACAATTCAAGTTAGTCTCTCATACAAAAATTTATATTGTTATGTGACCCTAATTGCTCTCCCTATACTGTGACAGCACACTCCTCCTTTCCACCCCTGATTTCCTGTGCCCATTCAACTAGCTCCTGACCCTCTCCGCCTTCTCATCTCACCTCCGGACGGGAGCTGCCCATTTAGTCTCATGTATCTACTTGAGCTAAGAAGCACATTCTTCACGAGTATCATTTTATGTCCCATAGTCCAGTCTAATCTTTGACTGAAGAGTTGGCTTCGAGAATGGTTTTAGTGCTGGGTTGACAGAGTCCGGGGGCCATGGTTTCTGGGGTTCCTCCAGTCTCAGACCATTAAGTCTGCTCATTTTACTAGAATTTGATTTCTGCACGCCACTTTTCTCCTGCTCCATCAGGGACTCTGTTGTGTTCCCTGTCAGGACGGTCATTAGTAGTAGCCGGGCACCATCTGGTTCTTCTGGTCTCAGGCTGATGCAGTCTCCAGTTTATGTGACACTTTCTGTCTCTTGGGCTAATGCTTTCCTTGTGACTTTGGTGTTCTTCATTCTTGTTTATTCCAGGTGGGTTGGGACCAATTGATGCATCTTAGATGGCCGCTCACTAGCTCTTAAGGCCCCAGACGCCACTCACCAAAGTAGGATACAGAACATTTTACATTTAGAAATTTTTGAGATGGCTATGTTGTGTATATTTTTACAACAATAAAAAAATGTTTAAAAAACAGGCCTCCCTCTGTAAGCATAACGATGTCATACCCTCAGTAGTATTATTAAAAATTAAAAACGAAATACTGTGACTAGTAACAAGGTAATTGGGAGGACAGGTGCTACATTTTCAAACTACGTAAGGGAAAGGTACTCGCAATTGGCTGAGTATATGAAGTGTGTTCGAGTTTCTGGGTCTCTTTCTAGAAAGAGTGATGCTGGGTACTGCTTAGATTTGTAAGTCCTTTGATCTGATCCAGGGAATGAGGAAGGCCCTAGGATGAGAGCAAGTTCAAATAAGGGCCCACCTTCGTAATGTGTGGTGGACATTTCTCCTTCCTCTACTTCCTGCTCCTTCAGAATTTCAGTACATTAGTGATAAATATTTAGACATCTTCTGCGGGGTTTCTTACTGTTGGCCAAAAACAATTAAGCCGCTTAGCACTGAGATACACCTGCTCTTCCTGATGTGGTTAAAATAGAAAACAAGGTTGAAGTAATACATGTAAAACAGTATGGTGTAAAGCAAAACCTCATTCCCTTGTCAGCAAATAACTATTGGAAGCCGGGTAGAAATCATTGTAAAGACTGAAGAAACAAATCCTATAATAAAATTGCACAGTGTGGGAGGTCTGCCACACTCTCAATGAAAATACAGATGTTTCTAAAACTTCCCAGTTTATGGCATAATCTGAGGTGGTTTTTCTGGAAAAAGGGATTGTCAAGAAGGAAGACTCATCTCATCACCACTAACCCTCCAAACTCTCCTCCCAAAAGCTGCCTCTTTCATTATTGAGCCCTCTGGTGAATTCCTCCAAGTACAAGGCCTGATTGTTTCAAAGTTGTTAGCACTCACTCTTAATTTGGTTATTCTAGTTATTTCCCTAGTTACAGGCACTTTTCAGATGAAGAGCTTTCCTTTTTCCATCCTTTTCTCCCATATGTATTCCTCTTAAACATACCTGAAAAAGTCCCTTATGATCCATAATTTGCCAATGTACCCTGCTCCCTACATTCAAAAGCCTCTCCCTTTCAGGAGAGTCAGCTTAAGTCAACATTACCATAAATGATGTCACTACCAGGTGGGCTTCCATATGTCATAGAATACCTGTTTTAATTTTGATCGTTTATACACTTTCTAAGTGCATGGCCTTTGCTTTAAGTTCCTTAAGCATCCTTTGACACATTGTTAGCAGTTGGCTTCACTTACATGAGAAGCTAAACTGCTGTTAGGTGCCATCGAGTCGGTTCTGACTCATAGCGACCCTATATGTACAACAGAATGAAATGCTGCCAGGTCCTGCACCATCCTCACAATCATTGCTATCTTTGAACCCACTGTTTCAGTCACTGTGTCAATCCATCTCATTGAGGGTCTTTCTCTTTTTCGGCTCACCATCTACTTTACCAAGTATGATGTCCTTCTCCAGGGACTGGTCCCTCCTGATAACATGTCCAAAGTATGTAAGACAGACTCGCCATCCTCACTTCCAAGGAGCACTCTGGCTGTACTTCTTCCAAGACAGATTTGTTCGTCCTTCTTGGCAGTCCATGGTACACTCAATATTCTTTGCGAACACCACAATTCAAAGGCATCAGTTCTTCTTTGGTCTTCCTTATTCATTGTCCAGCTTTCACGTGCATATGAGGTGATTGAAAACATCATGGCTTGGGTCAGGCGCACCTTAGTCTTCTAAGTGACAGCTTTGCTTTTTCACACTTGAAAGAGGTCTTTTCTAGCAGATTTGCTTATTGCAATACGTCATTTGATTTCTTGACTGCTGCTTCCATGGGCATTGATTGTGGGTCCAAGTAATATGAAATCCTTGACAGCTTCAATATTTTCTCCGTTTATCATGCTGTTGCTTATTGGTCCAGTTGTG